ACCCAGGGATCATTTCTAGCCTCCCCGTCCCCCCGGGATGGGCAGGGATCTGGGAACACCCAGGGATCATTTCTAGCCTCCCCGTCCCCCCGGGATGGGCAGGGATCTGGGAACACCCAGGGATCATTTCCAGCCTCCCCGTCTGTGCCCCGACCCCGGCCCACCCTCGGGGGGGTCCCAGCTGCCTCCAGCCCCCCGGGCTGGGGGGGCTCTGTGGCTCTGGGCTCCAATTCCAGCTCAGGCTGCATTCCCTGTGCCCTTGGGAAGGGAGGTGGCACCGTCGGGAGAGGGGGCAGGGCAGCCCTGGTGACACCAGTTGGCTCCCGGGGGTCTCAGTGGCCCCTTCCCAGTTCGCTGTCAGCTCCAGGGCACGGAGTGGGCAGTGCTGGACACTTCCCTGTCACTTCACTGGTGCCACCCCAATGACCCCCCCGTGTCCCCAAGTCCTGTGTCCCCTCAGTCCTTCCCGGGGGTGGGGCAGGGGGTGCTGGGGAGGATTTGGGTGGATTTGGATTTTTTGGGGGGGATTTAAAGAGGCCCAAGTCCCCCCAGTACAGACAGGGGGGGAACCCCTGAGCTGAGACTGCTCCCAGCAGCTCCCCCAGCCCACACGGCCACCGGTTCCCAGTGGGAATGCTGCTCCTATCCCAGCCAGCCACAGCCCCAGAGTCTTCTCCCCACGGAGGTTTTTAACCCTTGGATTCCGTCCGGGATCCGGCCCAGCCCCCCCGGCAGAGCTCAGCCTTTCCCGGGCTCCTCCATGAGTCATTTTGGAGCAGGACCTTCCCAGGGAGACGGTGTCAGGCTCGGCCCCGGGTGGGAAAGTCCCGGGATGAGGCTGTGGGTGCCGGCTGTGAGGGGAGCTGACTCACGAGGATCCAGCTGGGAAGCCCCTTCTGCTGATCCAGCAGAACTGGGATGAGGGGAAGGTCCCTCTGGGAAGGGTTCCCCGCCCTCCTCGCTGTCCCTGGGATCCATCCCCCTCCAAACATCCCTCCCGAGCTCCGTCCTCTCGTAGGAAAAGCTCCTGCACGGCAGCTCATTCCGCCCATCCCGATTTCCCCCCCTTCCTTTTCCATCCTCAGACGCTCATCCACAGCTTTCCCGGGGCTCCTGCCTTCCCAGTGCCCAGGGATGGGGTGGCACTGGGGACACCCGGCCCCTGCCAGGCCGTCCTGCCTCCCTGCTGCCTGTGGGGCTGTGGAGGGGAACCACGGCGTGGGATCCCCCTGGGAGTCGAGGTTGGGACGGACACGGGGTGTCTGACACGGGCAGGCAGGGGTTGGGATGGACAGACAGGGGTTGGGATGGACAGACAGGGGTTGGGATGGACAGGCAGGGGTTGGGATGGACAGACAGGGGTTGGGATGGACAGACAGGGGTTGGGATGGACAGGCAGGGGTTGGGGGGGACAGACAGGGGTTGGGATGGACAGGCAGGGGGTGGGATGGACAGGCAGGGGGTG